TGATAAAAAGTCTTTTTATTATTTGCTTCACTTTTTCCTTTAGACTTGCGGAGTATGCATATTCGGGTATGGGTAGTCAAATTACAAAGTATTGACAACAAGTATCGATTACTTGTCTTGCACGCCGCCAAGATAAGAAAATGTAGGAGAATATTAAAATTAAAAAAGCGAAAAAAAGGAAGAAGAAAAATCTTACGAGTCAAACAACTAAATGGAGTGCGTAGACCGATGGATGCATCAAAGGTAGAAAAATAGAGGTAGATTTGTGGTGGCGGATGAGGATTTTGTCAATATGAGAGCATACAAATATATTCTCAGTGAAAAAAGTCACTTGATTTGCAGACTAACACCAGTGGTCTTAAGTTCGAACCCCTTGACACTTGATAATATGTGTGAGAAACTTCATTCTCTTTTGTAGTATGGACTATCGATTATATTTCTAAAAAAGTTGAGTGGATTAGAAATAATTGGGCTTTGGGCTAAATTGATGAATGCTTTTTATTTTTTATTTTTTATTTTTATAAATAAATTTAATTTTTTTAATTTGCGTTATTTAGTGGGCTAAGTTGAATTACAAATATCATGCTCAGTGTTTACAATGAATTAGTAAAAAATAGGAGTTGTTCTAACTCAGATGATTTAGAGCATTTACTCTTGCACTTCTCTTCCTTTGTGATCTTTTTATTAGATCACATCGTGTGCTTAAAAAATAATAATAATAAAAAATAAAAAAATAAAAAATAAAAGCGGTCCCTTGTAACATTATTTTCTCTTTAAATAGCATCTTATCTTCATCCCGAGTAAGTATGATGACTCTATTTGCCACAATCTAGATATTATTTATAAAAGGGAATCTTCTATTTATACCAACATGTTAGATGATGTACCACAATTTTACCACTCATTTTTTGTCCACTTACACTATTTTGTTAGAAATTGTATGTTATCATGAAAAATATTTAAAAAAATACAAAGAAATATAAGTGGACAAAAGAGAATTAATTGGCACCCATATCATTATTTTTTGGCCATCATGTTCAACCGCACTGCCAACCATACAACCAAATATTTAAAGGGTAAATATTTATCGGTACGTACCAATTACTAAATGTTAAAAAATTATAAAAGATGTGATGCAACTGCTCGCATAAGCGATTAATTTGTAACTATCATTTGTTCAGACACTAAACGTCATCTATTGTGACTTTTATTAGAGAGTTAAAATAAACATGTGCTATTACCTTGGTAATGTCTAAGAGAGTACATGTTTTTCCATCACCTTGGTAAGCTATTGCCTCACCAATTAGGTGCTCTTATATGGATGACATCTAACTTTTCCTTGACAGAACTTGATTGACTAGATTGTCAAAGCCTGTGGATGAAGAACCAGGAGGACCAGTTGCCTCTTCTGCCAGTTTCTTCCACTCCATGGCCTTATTTTGCATTTTCTTACCCTTCTCTCCCTCCATGAACTCTTTAATTAGCTTCTCTACTTCATCTCTCTTGACATCATTATCAATCTCCATGCCAATGCCCCATTCATTGCAAGTATAGTAACAGTCAGTTTGTTGGTCAGCAAAAAATGGCCAGCAAAGCATAGGCACACCTGCAGTTAGACTCTCAAGGGTTGAATTCCAGCCGCTGTGCGTCAGAAACCCTCCGACTGATGTGTGGTTAAGGACTTGCTCTTGTGGGCACCAACTTGCTACTAGACCTCTTTCTTTTGTTTCAGCTACAAACTCTGGTGGCAAAATCGCTGATCACCAACAACCAAATCTGGCCTAATTACCCAGAAGAAAGGAAGCTTGCTATTTGCGAGTCCCCAACCAAACTCAACAAGTTGATTTGGTGTCATGACCGTTATGCTCCCAAAGTTCACATAAACAACTGAGTTTGGTGCCTTGGAGTTCAGCCATTGGAGGCATTCAGTTTCTTCTTTCCATAGACTGTACCCAACAGAGTTCTTCAAAGGGTCTTTTGGTATCTGATTGAGAAGTAATTCGATAGGGCCAATGGTATAAACAGGTGGAATATTAGGCATAGATGAGAGTGCACTCAGAACTTCTTTTTCCAAAGTATCAAATGTAAGAAGAACAAGTGCTGCAGCTTTATGAACTTCATCTGTTGCCACCATGCTAAAGTTAAGAAAGACATCGTCCGGATTTGTGGTTCGAAAGAAGGATGGGAGATTCCTTAAATGTATACCTTCCATTCCTGGAATCCAATCTATGACCTCGTCCAAAAATCCATTCGTTAACCAGCTCTCATCTACATTAACAACCAATTAATAATTAGCTGAATGGGGAAAATATCCATTTGAGGTACGTTTAAAAAAAGCAGTTACATAATCGATCATATATAAGGTACGATGCTATTCTCATTTTCATTTTGTCATTCTGCACTTCTTTTTGTGAGTTTTTTGAAATCGTAAAATAAATAAATTATGAGAACAGAATGACAAACTGAATTAATCTCACCCTTGAGTGGTGCAAGTCCTTTTTCGACCAAAGCGCGAAATTGTTTAAATCCCATGAAGCTGCATGCAGCAATAGTGAAGAAGAGTGCAATAGGGAGTCCAAATTCTTCGGCAGCTTTGATGGCGAACGACATGAATCCATCGGAAACAATGCAAGTCACCGGAGGATTATTATTGGAAGTTTCTGCGTCCTTGAGTTTTATGAGGAGGTTACGAAACGGAGCCAAGAAAACATCTTGTACAATGGCCTCAGCAAGCAAAGTGACATCTTGCGTTGCACCTTCATCTGAGTCCGGAAGGCCATCGGGGATGGTTTCGAACCGAAAATCAGGCAAGCCATCAAGAGAGTTGGGGCCTTGAGACTTAAGAAAGCGCCTGTGGTTGAACTCTGTGTTGACAAAGGTTATGTGGAAGCCTCTGTTGTGAAGGAGCTTTGCCAACTTGAGCATGGCTTTTATATGGCTCTGAACTGGGACCGGAACACAAACAGCATGAGGCTTATTATGAGCTACTATCGTAGAAGTCATGTTTTTGATCTTTTTTGTGCTCGCTAGTACAAATGGAGAGGTTATTTATTTATAGGACTGGTGGGCTAGCTAACTTTCAACGAGTGGCTGGTTTTTGCCCATCTTCTTTTTCCTTTTTGGGCCCTACATGATGAAAGACGTCGGTCGATTTGCCTTGTCTATATATAAATAGTAAGTCTGAGGTGATCATAATTATGGTGGGTACGCACTCAATGTGTATCTTGGTAGCTGGGTACAGGTTCTTCAGGCTGCTCGAGGTTATAGGAAATTTTTATTGAGTAGAACTTGCGTGCAAGGTTGATTGAGTCTGATTCATATCTGTAGCTGTTGAGCTTATCTCAAATTAATGCCATGCATTGTTTCCAATCACCGCTATTTTAGTCTATTTTATTTTATTTATTAGAAAAGAAAAGATTACAAAGAGAAGCCAGCCTGGAGGGCCCCCAGAAGCTGACTTTTTGCGGTGGTAGTTCGTAGGATAGGATCCCCGGATCTTCTTCTTGTGCACTTTAATCTTTAATTAAGGTTGTTTGTCTTGTCCTTGCATTTTAATTTTGTAGCTGCCTTTCGGTGTTGGATCTCTACCTGCATTTCCGCGTCAGATCTCCACCACCATTTTTTTCGTGGTTTCTTTATGTTTGGAATAAATAGTAAAGACTCTTTGGGTTCTCTATGTAGTTTTCACATCTCCTTTTGTAATAGCTTTTTACCTCTCCTTTGTAAGAACTTTTCATCTCTCCGTTGTTGTGAAAGTTTTATTTGTATTATGGCTTGATTTTTTTCAAGCTTTATCTCTCGTTTTGGTTTTTCTGAGTTTGCAATCTTAGTTGGGATGCCTATACTAGAGTTTCTTCGATCTTGCGTGATAATTAGTGGAGGTGCACAAGATTATTTTAATTTTGATGTTAGAATGTTCCGTTGTTATAATGGCCTTTTGTGGCTAGTGATTTTTTTGACTAAATTATGAATGCAATTCTAAAATTTCTTTTTAAAAAAAATAAAAAAAATAAGAACCAAGTAAATAAAGGCAGAAAATATGTAACAGAGTGTCGGCGACACCCTAAATGTGCTACATAATTGGTTTACATTTCATTTTCATAAAAAGTATAAACTAGTTATAATATTAAACCTTAATTTGGATTGCATATCAAATAATGTATATATTTATTTATTTAGGATTCCTCAAATAATTTTATTTAGGATCCCCTACAAAAAAAATTTCAACAATCCAAACCATCTATTTTTCACATCTTCATTCAGAGATCATCCTTTCAAAAAATCATGCAAATTGAAAATCATCAAGACATCTAATGGAGACCAACAAAACCAATGAACATGGTGCTTCAAGAAAGTACTTAAATTTTAATAATTTAATTGAGTGGTCAAATGATATCGGATTCAAGTGATTTTTTGTAGAGATGATCTTTGAATGAATATCTATAAAATAAAAGAAAAATTAGGTATTAGACATAACAATTCTTACTAATTAGGATTTGAGACATATAGTTTTTTTTTTTTTTTTTTTTGGGTTTTAATACATAGTACTTAAATTTTGTTTTGGATTTAGCCAAAGAGGAGGCCCAGATTCATTGGGTCTGTCTAAATTATGGGCAATTGCATGACTATCATGCCCTCCTTAGGAAATGGATAGGAACCTAGAAGCTTCCCTCAAGAAGAATGGAGACCTCCCTTAGGAAATTCCTGGCCCACCCTACGTCTCCCTGAGGACGCTTCTTTCCGGGCTACGTCTTTCGTACACTACTACAATTTTAGCTTATACCGATAACCGAAGGAGCAGTTTAGCCAGTATTAGGACCCATTACTGGCCAGGTAAAGTGGTTTGCCACTACTAAATAATACTGGCAAAGTTTTTCGTCAGTACTAGTTTTACTGACGAGCCACAGTGTCAGCCCCTTCAAGGGCGGGAAGCCAAAATATTAAGCGCCCAATATTTTTGTCACTGACGAGTTGGTTTGCCAGTACTAGACTTAAGTATAATTTTTTTACTTAAACTTTCTCTTTACTTCCTTCAAATCGACTATCTCTCTCATTGACCAAAAAAGACCACATCTTCTCTCTCGTCTTTTTCTTTCGTTTTTGGGTTTTGCTCTGTCACTCACTCTCCCTTCCTCTCTCTTTTTTTTTTCATTGAAGAAGAAATTGTTTTCTTCCTTAGAGCTATTGGAGTTAGAGGAATTGAAGAAGAAATTGTTTTCTTCCTCTTCTCTCCTACTCTTCCATTCTTGTCTCTAGCGCGCTCGCACGATGACTCCTCTCACCGTTGGCACAGTCGCTCTTCCTCGTCACTAGCCAAGCTCGATCTTCTCTGGAATCTCTTCGCCGCCACTGTGACAGTCTGACAGGTAAACTCTTTTATTCCTCTTCCTCTTCCTCTTTAAATCTATTCCTAAATCTGTGATGGGCGAAGACAATTAGGGTTATGGTAACTGTTGTTGGTTATTTTTCTTCATAAAGAACTCCCATTTTTTCAATTTTATTTTAGGATTTTGTTTGGGTATTTGATTATTGTCGCTGATTTTATTTCCTTGTAAAGAAATTTGGCTTCTTCTATTTGATTTTAGGGTTACGTTTGAGTATTTGATTATTTTATTTTGGATGTGATGAAATTGAAGCAATCTTTTTTTAGAATTTAATCCCATGGTTTTTGTTCGAAGTGATGCCCTGGTCTAATTTAAGGTTTTATTGTTTGAATATTTGTTGGCAAGACAGAGTGTGACAGAGGTAATAGTCCAGCCTTGTCATCTTTCTTCATATAATCTTTGTGACACTTGGTTTAGCCTTTGGTTCTGCTTCGCCTGCACTATTGGTGTTGGCTATGTTTGTATTTTGTTGCTATTGTCTTTTCTGTTGTTTCTCTTGCTCTAAAATCTTTGGTTCTTGAACAATTATTGATGATATGTGCTCCTATCTCTTGCTCCATTGTAATTAGTGATTTTTATTGAAATCAGTGCCTAATGCATAAAGCCTTTAGTTTTAATTCATTTCTCTACTTTAGTTTTGGTTTCCTAAAGTAATAAGAACCTGTGCTCTGTGTTCTGGTTTCTACACATTTCAGACTTTAAGTTCAGGTGGTAGTTCACTCTAAGTTGATTATATGTCATGCACAACACTAGAATAAGATTCATCTATGCCAATGATGATGCTCTGTTTGGTTACTAGAATAAGAGTTTTACTTTCTAAATCTTTTACTGACAATTATTAAGAGGTTCTTTCTGTATCTTAATTTGAATAAGATTTTCTTGTAGTTTGGGGCTTGTTTGTTTATTTTTGGGGGTTTTGTCTTCTATTTTGTTTTATTTTGTTTGGGTTGTGGTTCTGTTTTCGTTTTTTGTTGGGGTTTTGGTGGTTTGCTGGGGGCTTTTTGTCCTCTTTCTGATGTTGGTTTTGATCAGATTGTATTTTTATATTGTTATACGATGCATTGTTTGATATCACTTCTGGGTTTGCTTACCATGATCAGTTGCTGAGGTTGATCTTTATTAGCTTAGCTATGATGTTTACAGCTCATCTAGATTAAGATCAACAATATTTGGCTTTGATGAAAATGCCCTGTTGATCTTTTTGTTGCCTTTTTTCCTACCATTCTCAGTTCAACTAGCAACACTTCTAGCCAAGGAGAGAACACATTCACAAACCTACATTGGATGCATGAAGAAAGGACTAGTAATCACTGACCCTAAAATGAAATGGTATTAAAATTGTTATCAGAGCTTTTACCTTTGTGATTGATTTATTATTTTTTTTATTTTTTTTTATTTATGAATCCATCCATTAATTTATTATTCAGGTATGAGAAATCAGGACATCTAATTGGGAATGAATACTTTCGGCATGCTTATGGTCCTATATATGTTCTGTCTGCAGAGGTGGTCGCATCATTGGCAATTGCTAGAAATAGCAGGTCAGCCACATGTTATGTATCTACTTTCTATATGTTAGTCATTGTTTCTTTCAATTATGGTTTTTGTCAATATATTTAATTTTTAGAACCTCCAATTATGTGAAACATGACTCAGGCTTTGGTTTTTGTAAAATTTGAATCTACCCTGCTCCTTCAATCCACTTTATTTGTGTTATGATAATGTAGATAGACAAAAGCTTATGTTATTTTCTAAAAGGCAAGCTGATGCAATTTTTCTTTTTTTGCTAATATTTGATAAGACCATATTCTTATGTTCTGGTATGTGATCCACATATCAATGTGACATGTAGGAACGTTATTGGTTGAGTTCGAGAATAAAAGCACTTAAAAGGTAGGCAAGGATGATCCTTCTTTTCTTGGAATAGTCCATACCCTTTGGCATTGCATTTGTTGAGTCATTTGGTGAAGGACTTGGGGTTAAACCACACCAGGTGCCTTGGATTCAGACGAAGGCAGGGTCATCCAAGAGATTGCGAGGACACAACTACGGCACCTTGAGTCACAGTATGCATACTTTTGTAGTGTACTGGTTGGACATTTGGCATGGCATAGTTTTGAATAGGTTGGGCAACAAAAGTTTTTGAACTCTACTGATGTAGGCAAACCTTTGTATATTTGGCTATTCTATTCAACATTGGTACTTTATATTTTTTAAGGATGGTGGCTGTATATCGATAAATCTTTGAGTATTTATATTAGTGTACTTTATAATTGTTATTACATTGTCAGTATCAATTAATTTTTTTAAGAATGAAAAATGTGCAGATTACAAAACAAAAGGCATTTGAAAGAAAGATATTTAATGGTGCATCAGCGCACAAAGAAATTGACAAACAATCAATTTTTATTTTTATTTTGTTTTGGTTAAGAACAATCCTGACAAATGTTTGGCCACTACTATCCAATCCTAAAACAATAATCCTGACAGAAAAAAAAAATTTAATACTGGCCATTTGTTTTGTCAGTAATAATCTAGAGTCACTTTATGACTTTGTGTCAAAGATGGACCTTTACTGACGAATAAGTTGCAAAAGTTCGTCAGTATTAGTAGTACTGACGGGACTTTTACTGACGACCCTCATTTTCGTCGCTGCACTCGTCAGGAAGCTATTACTGACGAATTTCCGCCAGTAAAGGGGTTTGTACTGACCATAGAGAGTTGCCAGGACAAGGGAAAATTGTAGTAGTGGTAGGATGCTTCTGGTCGTCGCCATGTGTCTCTCTTAGGACGCTCCTTATGGGCAACTGTATGACTATCCAGCCCCCCTTAGGAAATGGATAGGAACCTAGATACTTCCCTAGAAGCATGGAGACCTCCCTAAGGAAATTCCAAGCGCACCCTGCATCTCCCTGAGGATACTTCTTTGCGGGTTGCCTCTCCCGTATGACACTTCTAGTCATCGCCCTGCGTCTCCCTTAGGACGCTCCTTATGGGCAACTATTTTTTTTTTGGGTGGGCATTTGAGACACTCTAGAACTTCCAGCAGTTGTTTTTCTTTTTTACAATTGTGCGGTGCTCAGTCATTTGCTTGGAACTGAGCAGATAGGAGGAAACGTCATGGATAATATCTTCGAAGATGGTTAACAGTCCATTGTCGTGGAATTTCCTTTCCATTCATGGTGTCGAGTGTGTACCTTCCTCTGCCCCCGAACTGGCTGATCAAATAAGAACCCTCCCAGTTAGGGTTGATCTTCTTTGACCCTTATCTTGGTGCAGTGATGAAAGTCTTTCTTAGCACGAGATCGCCTGGTTGAAATTGTCTGACCTTAGCTCTTTTGTCGTAGTAGGATTTCAATTGTTTCTGATAGGAGGTGACTCAGATAATGGTCTTCTTGCGCTCACTCTCAAGTAAGTCAAGGTTGAGCCTCATTTGCTGGGAGTTCTGATCAACACTGCCCACCTCAAGACTTATGGAGGGGACAATGATGTGAGGAGGGATAATTGCTTCCGACTCATAGGTGAGGGAGAATGGGGTTTCTCCAGTCGATCTTCGTTTGGTGGTGCGATAAGCCCATAGTACTCCAGGGAGCTCATCCACCCATTTCCCCTCGGTTGTTTAAATTGTTCTTCTATGCTTAATGGGTTCCTAATGCTTAGTTTTAGGTTAGACAACAAATGATCAAATTAGGGAATTAGGAACACAAGGTTATGACCAAACACCATGGCTTAATCATACTTTAGCTAGAATCAATCCGTTAATCTAATTGAACTTGGGAACTTATTTGCTTGAGTTATTTCATTCTTTCTTGTTTTATTTATTTTCTTTTTTTCATTTCTATTTTGTGTAGGGGAAACAAATTGGATCATTCAATCACCAATCCTCGTGGGATCGACCTCGCACTTACATATGCTATACTACCAAACGGCTCGTGCACTTGCGAGTATCACAAGTTGAGGATGCAGTTGAAACCATTTTGGTGCAGCTGAATCGAAGCAACAGCCTTCTAACCTCTTCTTTAGGCAATCCAATATGATTTTGTTAGATGCCTCGGCCTGTGGATACCTTTGGGTGGACAGGTGTTGCTTGATCTTGTATTTTGCAAAGAAGGCGATGATCTGCTTGCCAATGAATTGTGAGCTATTATTGGTGACCACCGATTGCGAGCAGCTAAACCGGTAGATGATATTTCTCCAGATGAATCGTTCCACATCAGCTTCTTTGGTAGAGGCTAGAGCTTCGGCCTCAATCCATTTAGTAAAGTAGTCGGTGGCAACGATCATCAAGTCTTTCTTGGCGAGCGCCGATGGCAAGGGACCTCTTAGGTCAATGACCCATTGCATGAATGGCCATGGACTGTTCTGCGGATGGTAGACTTCGGTAGGCAGGTTAGGAACCGGTTTGTACCGCTGCCAGCGATCACATTTCTTTAGATATTCGGTGGAGTCATGGCGCATAGTAGGCTAGAAATAGCCTATGTTTAGAGCTTTCTGGGCAAGTGATCTGCCCCCAAAGTGGTTGCCACACTCACCATCTTAAATTTTGCAGAGAAGCTCAAGTGTTTGAGGGTATTTTATGCAGGTGAGATGAAGGCCGGAGTATGATTTGCAGATGAGCTTGTCGCCTTGCATGTAGTATCTTGTGGCCTTCTGCCGGACCTTCCTAGCTTTAGACTTGTCCGTTGGCAGATTTTCGTTCATCAAGTAGTCGATGATGGGGTCTTGCTAGCTGAGGTCCTCATCAATCTGCATTGTCTTGATAGACTATATTTCTTCGATGCTTGGTCGGTCAAGGTGTTTGACTGGGATGGAGCCACTACTACAAAAATTGAAATAGACGACGGGGAAACACCGTCGTCTTTTTTTTCTTTCAAACCGTCGTTAAATCGATCGTCATCTTTTTGAAAGTCAAACTACGACGGTAATTAACCGTCGTCTATTATATGTAAAAACGAAGGTTTTTAAAAGAACTGTTGTCTATTACATATAAAGACGACACTTTTTCTGAAAAAACGGTCATCTATTGAATGTAAAGACGACACTTTTTTTGAAAAAACAAAACCGTTGTCTATTTAAATGTAAAGACAACACTTTTTCTGAAAAAATCGTCGTTTATTATATCCAAAGACGTCTATTAAATCTAAAAAAGACGGTTTTGTTCCAAAAAATCGCCGTTTATTATCTGTAAAAATGATGTACTAATTTCATTTTAGATATCCTAAAAAATTATTTCTTTCATAAAACTTGAAGATTCAATTGTAATTACATTGTTTACCAATCTTGATTCCTACTATATCCATACAAAATACCATATTTATAACATTATAACCTATAATTACAGAATACCATATCCAAAGCATTAACCTATGGTTGTTGTATCTTCCACAATTTGTACTTGTTCTCCACATTCAGCTGTCATCTTGGAGTAGTGTTCTAAGTCATCTTGGTCAAATGGATCTTATATTCTTCTAAGTTGCCTACCAACTGGGCCTTTGAGCTGCACTCGATATAAGCTGTAGCACCTATTTGCCATGTCATCTTACCTGAGCAATCAAAAACCACAATAAGATTACATTATCTTGCTGTCATCTTAACTAACAAAAAATATGCATCATCTATACAAGCATAAGCTTATGTAGGAAAAGTTCATTTGTAACACAATACAGAAGAACATTTTGACTAACTTAGAGTTGCTTTTGTGACGTGGATGGCGAGAGCTCACCAAGAAGGCGCGATGGAAATCTGTCATCGAACCCCAGGCGACATCGAAGACCAGATCTGATGTTCTAGGATTTTCCCATCTCGTAAGGTCTCTAGATCTATTTTCAAGGACATCGTCGTCGTTGACTGTGAATATGGCGTCGATGGAGGCTGGTGATGACTGATGCGAAGAACGATGGCGTTGACGGCGTCGCTGCGTCGATGGCGTTGACGGCGTCGCTGTGTCGATGGCGCCGATGGCTGGTAGGTACGTATGAGGAGTAGAAAGGTGAGAGATGGAGTGTTTCAGATAGCTCAGGAGGGTTTCAAGAAGAGAGGAGCTCAGGAGGTTTCAAGGAAGGAGAGATAAAGTTTTCAGAGACGGGGGAAAATCTGAAAATTTGTCGAGCGCGAATTCACTTAAGCGGCCTTTTTTTAGCGTGTTTTAAAAGACGATGCTTTTTATAAAAAAAAACCGTCATCTTTACATATAATAGACGACTCTTTTTATATGAAAAAAAACCGTCATCTTTACATATAATAGACGACTCTTTTTATATGAAAAAAAACCGTCATCTTTACATATAATAGACGACTCTTTTTATATGAAAAAAAACCGTCATCTTTACATATAATAGACGACTCTTTTTATATGAAAAAAAACCGTCATCTTTACATATAATAGACGACTCTTTTTATATGAAAAAAAACCGTCATCTTTACATATAATAGACGACTCTTTTTATATGAAAAAAAACCGTCATCTTTACTTCATAATAGACGACCCTTTTTATAAAAAAAAACCGTCGTCTTTACTTCATAATAGACGACCATTTTTATATAAAAAAACTGTCGTCTTTACTTCATAATAGACCACCCTTTTCATAAAAAAACCTTCATCTTTACATATAATAGACGACTCTTTTTATATAAAAAAAAACCGTCATCTTTACATATAATAGACGACAGTTCTTTCAAAACAACCATGTCTTTACCAAAAAAAAGACACTTGATTTTTAAAAGATGACGCTTGTCATACCTGCTGTCGTTGTTTTTTGGTCAGATTTTAACTCTAAAGAAAACCTTTTTAATAAGACAACGCTTTTTTATTTGTGTGCGTCGTTATAAAAAAAAAATTCAATAGTACCTCCGTTTTTTAGTTGTTTAAGTCACTTATCCACGACAGTTTTTTGTTACCGTTGTCTTTTTTAAAACAACGACGGTTTTTTGTTCTACCATCGTCTTTTTCTGGTCGTCTTTTTCACTTTTTGTAGTAGTGAGCATCTGAATTGGGTTTCCAGTGCTAATCCTAGGCTTGCCAGTGCGTCAATATGTGTGTTCTCTGCTCGGGGCACTTGTTGGACTTTGTCAAGGTACAAGATCTTCCTTGGGTGATTCGCCATGTATTCACCTGAGGCTTGATTTGTGATCAGCTATAAATCTGAGTAGATGGCCAGCTTCTTGATTGATAGCTTATTTGCCAAGCGCAAGCCAGCGAGTAATGCCTCGTATTCTGCCTCGTTATTTGAGGCCGTGAAGCCATGCGTGATA